TAAATATTAACACTTTAGCAATCTGCCCTAAACCCTAAACTAAATCAGATGGTTTATCAATGTAAATAGTAATAATAATAATAATAATAATAATAATAAAGAGGGTTTCTACACTTAGATTGTTTAAGTTTTTACTTTTAATAATTATAGTTTATTAAAAGTTTATCATAACTTTAAAAAAATTACTATTAAATGTTTAGAAATTAGTATTGACTGTTTATTTCTTTTAAATAATTAAAATATTACCATAAACTGGGTTTTAGTTTATAGTTTATTATGTAACAGTTATATTAGAAAATATTATTTTTTTGGCAGAGAGAGTTTATTATTATAAAAAACTTTTTATATAACAATTTGTTAAATAAAAATTTTGTTCATTGTTAAACTTATTATTAAGAGTTTATTATGACAGTTTGTAAATATTAACACTTGATTATATAATGATTTTATTAAAAATTGCTATTAATTGTCGATGAGTACACTACTTTGCTTGTGAGTTTGCTACTTTGCTTTTTAATTACATTATGAATAGGCATTTAACATATTTGTTGTTACTGTTTGATTTTTTTTTTGTGGCTGATTTTGATGTTACGTAAGCTTGTTTCATGGCTTGAGGTATACATATGGCTTGTTTCATGCCTTCATGAAGTATAAATATAATATACCAAAGTTATATACTTGTATTGTTTAGTTCCGTGAGGCGCGCCTCGCGCCTCGGGTAAATCAATGAAAGCGCCTCAAGCCGCCTCACGCCTTTTAAAACTAAGGTTTTAGTGTCATGCACCTCTATGTCTCGCAATCTGTATGCGCACGCCTAGTATACTCTCTTTCTAGAGTTTTAAGCATTGAATGTGTTTTTGGAATGCATCTGCAACTCTGCCGCAGATGCGCAAGCCTTGGCAAACTTATAAATCATGTCACAGTTCAAGCCTTGATGTCCTCCAATCTATTCTCATGACATGCTTTGTTAAATTTGTTCCTGGTGTCTGATTTACTGATTGGTTTTCTTGGGTATATGCAGCCGTGTTTGTGGGAATACTCACGGACTTGTCAGAAAGTATGGCCTCATGTGCTGCAGACAGTGTTTCAGCCAGAATGCCACTAAGATTGGATTCATCAAGGTAATCCATGAATTGACTTCTTTGCTAATTCTTTTTTTGGGAGTTACCAACAGGCTGCAAGTTGCAACTTCGAAGTTCAAACAGACTTTTTCTTACTTCGTTACCTACCCACTTTTCACTTCATTTGGCATATTACTCATCTCTTTTTATTGGTTTTGCAGTACCGTTAAATGATCAGCATGGTGGGGATCTCAAGAAGAGTATTTAGATCATTAAACTTTCCGAACAGATTTTCTGTGTAATGATAATTATTACGGCGTTATGCTCTTCAAATTGTCTTTGATTTTGATGTGTTTTCTTTTTTTTAAGATTGATGAACTATATGATGTCATTTCTATCTTGAGTAAAATGTAGTTTCAATTTACTGGCATTCTTAGCGTACTTTTAATTGCATTTTTTTTTCTCGAAACTAGTTGAGCTCACTTTACTTGGGGGTGGGCAAAGTGGCTCGGTTTGACCAAACCGAACCAAAAAATTGAGGTTTGGTTTGGTTTTGGTTAGCCTAGCCAAACCGTTTGGTACTAATATTTACAAACCGAATGGTCCGGTTCGGTTCTGTTTATAAACCGTATAACCCGATCAGTTTACTAATCTAAAAATTCAAGAATATGCATCTGTGCCTCGACTTCAAACTCGCTCACCAGCTACAAAGTCACAAACTCTCTATCATTATACCGATTGCCCTAGTTAGCCAAACCTTTTCAAAGCTGCGCCTTCATCTTCGAATTAAAGCTGCGCACAAGTGTACCTTGGAAGCTTTAAATCTTGGGTTGCCAGTGACATTGTGCTCGGTTTTCAAATAAGGTCCATAGACTCATCTGTTTATATATCTTCTAAATTGATCTTCATTCTATTTTTTATTTGTTTAAGTCAAACTCCTCATGGAGAGGAATCCCAAGGTTCCCTTAAACTAGGGCTTTCTGTTAAAGGATTGTTTCATTGCTTTAAATTGAATGTAAATTGTTCATCGTTAATTTTTATAGCTGTAAATCTATATTATTCACGTTCTCTATATATAATATGTTTTCACTTTTCAAGGGCTATGGACTTTGCTTTTTTTAATTCATCGATTTCTTCCAAGGCCTGACCCTTAAAAAGGAATGGCGACCATGTTTGTTACCTGGATGGCATCTAGAACATGATTTCCCTGATTTCAAAGTTAATATGGAGTGCTTAATTGTTTCCTGCTTTGTCATAAAGTTTTTAAATTGAGGTAAATGATTCATTTTCTCTACTGCCATAAACATCCCTACAAAAAAAACTACTTTGTTCCTTTCCTGCTCTGTTCATTTACATTAGAGCATGTTTGCTCTCAGTGCTATTACTTTTGTTTCTTAGGCTCTGTTTCTTCACATGGAGCAAACTAGCATAGTTTCTAAATATTGAGCCTTCTTGCCTCTAAGTATTTGTTGAGTTTATAAAAGAAATCTCAGAATTGGTTGTGATGCTAGTTAGCTATATAAGTTCATAGTTTGTGACTTTGTGTAGAGTAATTGTTGTTGTCATTGTTAATAATTATACATTTGAGTGTGAAGTACTTTGAGTGTTTGATTGTGCAGATGGATTCTCATTTCAGAGTTGGTTTGATTATTTAGAAAAACAGATTGCAGAATGAAGAAATTATGAATGCTCATGACAGATAACTTGCAAGCCGGCACAGTTTCTACTTTCTGGCATAGCTGAAATTTTGAGATTTAGCTGTCAGGGAGGTAGAACAAAAAGTGTGTTATACCCAACAAGTCATTGAAAAAATAAGTGACTTAGCTTTGGGTTGCACTAAATAAGTTAGAGAAACGTAGAATTCTTTATCTGTTTTGAAGACTATTATTTGATTGCAATAGGTATAATTGTTTACATATATGAGGAGCATGGGTTTTATCTTTGTAAGGACCTAAATTCCGCCACCCACCCCAAGATTATGTCTGGACCTATTTAAAGTGACTATTAAGGGGAACCCAGTCAACCCACACAATCAAATGTCCCTGGGTTCATAGACTTAAGCCATGATGTTATGCACTTATGCATGCTAGTTTCTGGTAACTAGCCTTCATCTAACCTCTGTCCTCTGTTAAGCGGAGACCTTAATCCCTTCTTGACAAATCGTTTGCTTTCATGCAATTTGTTTTGTATTTTTTTTTTTGTTAAATAGTACTTCGTATTATGTTTCGATTTAATCGGTTTGGTTTTGTTTCAATCCAAACCAAACCGTTTCTAATTTGGTAAACCGAACTTCAAACCGAACCAAACTGAAATTTTCTCAAACCGAACCGAAACCAAATTGAAACATATTTGGTTTTTGTTTGGTACATTTTCCGGCAAACCGAATAAACCGAAACCGAATTGAAACCAAACAAAACCGAATCGTAAACCGAAATGCCCACCCCTAACTCTAATGATTAATGAGCAGACTCCATTGAACTTGATGGACTTGATGAAGTTCTTGTATTTTAATGGGCTAAGTAGCCCTCGAGGCCTCGTATCTTGTATTTTAATGGGCTAAGTAGCCCTCGAGGCCTCATATCCTAGTTTTTTAGTTCATATAAGATCAAATCATATCTAACTTAAATAGACTAGATCATATTTAAATAGACCAAAGCTAACTTGGACAGTTCAAACAAGATCAGACCTAGGCAAACAAGACCATTAAATTGGAGTCTAAAAACCATTAAATTTGAGTCTAAAAGAAAACATCTTCAATGACTTGCAGTACACAGGCTGATTTGATGCAAATAAAAGCAGTATTCTAAGCAGATTTATGTATGCCATCATATGTTAAAAGCAGTATCCTAAGCAGATTTATGTATGCTCATACTATGCTGGGCTTATACTTTGCCGAGGTCATACTAGACCGAGCTCATACCATGTCGAGCTTGTACTACTCTGAGCTCATACTGTGTTGGGCTCATACTAGGGCAAGATCATACTAGGCCGAGATCATACTAGGCCGAGGTCATAGTGGTCATGCCGGGTCGAGGTCATAATAGGCCGAGCTCATACCATGCTGAGCTGATACTACTCGGAGCTCATATTGTGCTGGGCTCATACTTTAACGAGGTCATACTAGGCCGGGCTGATACTACTCTGAGCTTTTACTAGGTCGAGGTCATAGTGGTCATGCTGGGCCGAGGTCATAATAGGCCGAGCTCATACCATGCCGAGCTGATACTACTCGGAGCTCATATTGTGCTGGGCTTATACTTTGCAGAGGTCATACTAGGCCGAGCTCATACCATGCCGAGCTTATACTACTCTGAGCTCATACTGTGTTGGGCTCATACTAGGGCGAGATAATACTAGGTCGAGGTCATAGTGATCATGCCGGGCCGAGGTCATAATAGGCCGAGCTCATACCATGCCGAGCTGATACTACTCGGAGCTCATACAGTGCTGGGCTCATACTTTGCCGAGGTCATACTAGGCCGAGCTCATACCATGCCGAGCTTATATAATATGAGCTGGTCAAATAATTTTTGCAAGTTAACTGGCCCGAAAAATACATATTCCGGACCAGTTAACTTGCAAAAATCATTTGACGACCTTCCCGATTGACTTTTTTGCTCAAACTTGGTATGGATGCACTAGACTTGATGAGGAACATACACAAAAAATTTGAGCAAAAAATACCACCTAGAAAGGCCCAAATGGAGGAGGCCGGACTGGGGTTCCTGTCCTGAAATTCCGAACAGGAATATTGGTGTATTACCAAATATGGTTCTGTTCGGGTTTGTTCCGTTCCATTCAATTTGGATTTGTTATATTTCAAAAACATATTGAAAATCTATTGAATATTTTAGTACAGTTCAATTTTATTCTGTTTTTCATGAGTTAAATTAATCTTGATTTACTTCCGTTTAAAAGTAGTACCAAATTCAAACCAAATTCGAGAAGTTTTTAGCTTAAAAATATACTCCGTATTACCGTATAAGCAGCATTGTGAAGAATACATGAATCATAAATGTCTCTAACAACTTTTATTTCAGCACATCCCTCAAATCAGGGTCAAAATGTTAAATAGATCAATTTCCAGAGCTAGAAATCAGGCTTGTTATTCCAGATGCAGAAACTCATTACTAGGGAGCGGAGGAGCTTCCCCGAATTTCAGCACATATGCAGTCATATGAGCAATCCGCAACGCCGGAATGGCCGGTACATCCAAATATGCATCGCAGGAGAAACACCACACTGATAAATCACTGCATTCAAATCCAGTTCGCACCCAAATTCATATCGAATAAGGGAAGTAAAATGAACCAATCGATTGAAATGATATCCAGGTTTATGTATATACCTGAAGCTAAGCGCTATGGGATGATTCGTCCGTTGATGGTGCTCGACCATGTGCTTGTTCACGAATCGGCTGCAGAAAACTTGCTTGCAGCTCAAGCATAGCCAGTTCTCCCTCGGATGTTGGCACCTGCAACGAAATTCCATTGGATTCATTGATTGATTCAATGCCTAGGGTTAGAGAAACCATCAGGAGAGGTTAGAAAGACAGACTCGTTGCAGGGAGTGACGGGGATGGGGATGGGGATGTGAGCCAGGTCAGAGGATAATGAAGCGAGGTGATCGCAGTGAGTTCGGGGCTCCACCCAACCAGATTCGAACCCATCCATCATTAGTTCTTCGTCTTCGTAGATGACGGGAACTGAAGCGGCGGACGATGATGAGGCCATTCACCGTTCTTGACTTCTTGTTCTTACGCTGAAGACTGGAATTGGTTCGGTTACCAAAACCTATTGAGTTTTTTTTTAAGGGTTAAAGCACAAATATATCCCTCATATATGCGTTGGAGTACCCATATACCCCTGTACTTATTTTTGTCTAAAAAATCTGCCAAAACTACTTTATGGGTTTAAAAATACCCTTGGTTGACTAGTATCGAATTCTCAATTGAAAGCGAACAGTGATGACACACAAAAAAGCTACTCCGTATTATTCAAGATTTAATTTTTTTATTCATGTTTTGTATCAAATGTGTGAACTTCTACCTTGCAGCTTTAGATTTTTATCTAATTTCTTAGCAAACATTCACATTGTGAATTTCATTTTGTAGTACAACTACAATCATGGAAAGGAGTCTTTCTTTGAAACAACCTGCTTATAAATAATGTTTATATGGCTTATCAGATGTTTGGATTAGTATTTTCACTTATTTGAAATATTAAAATAAAAAGTGTATAATGTCTAATGGAGTGATTCTCAACAAGAGTTATAAGCATTGATGCAATTTATCCTCCACTGTGTTAGGAATTTGACAAGTTTTGAAAGTTCTATTTCTTCCTTTGAAATTAAAACTGAAAGGGATAAAAAGAGCCATAGAGGGATCACCTTTCTTATTCCTTTTTATTTTTTGTTAACCTACTGTTGTCTTATGTAGTAAGTAGAAGTTTGAAATCATTTAAAGCCACTCTCACTGGAAGAGTGCAAAATTATAATTCCAGTAGGCTTTTCTTTTTTCATGCCTACACTCTCAACTCTCAAGTCTCAACTTTATCCAAGTGCGGGTGAATATGAGATTTTTGTCCAAAGGTTTCTGCATTCTTAGCAGCCATTATCATTCATTTTTTTAAACTTTCTCAAACACATTTTGAAGTACTAATGTAAATATTCTGTCCAAAGTTCTTTTCAATATTTATTATCAGCAGCCATTCCCATTCTATTTATTTAGAATTTTTTGAAGTATGTTTTCAAGTGCTGTTATGATAGGATCCCGGCAGATTAGGCTGAGAGTAATAATAATAAGAGTAGTATAAATAGAAGGGAAGGAGGGAATAAGAGGGAGGCTGGTTTTATCTTGGGCTTGGGACTAAGAGAGTTAGCACTCTTTAACCGCCTTCGTATTTTTTCCTCTATTTTGTATACGACGGTTCCATTTTTACATGTCTGTTTTCTTCATCACTACTCTTAGAATCTTTGTAAATTGGAGCATTACCTATCATATTATATTGGTGTTATTGTGGGCAGTGAAATACTAATATGTTCCTCAAGTGCTACATGGTGTGGTAGATGCTTATAAGCATGTTTAATAGCTGAAATATTTTTCACTCTCCCCTAACAGATCTTTTGCACTACTGTTGTACATCGGCCGGTTAGAGAGATGACAAAGCAAGAATGGCTCAAAAAACATGTGAGTGTTTTCTACTTTTCTTATTTATTATTAGAACTATTATAATTACTCTTAAATGGTTCCAAAAGCAACATCGTTATCGTTGGGCCATAAGTTTGAAATTGATTTTATGTTGTTAGAATGCATTTAGCTCTGCCTTATAAGTTTGTCTGCTAAACTATATATTTGAATTGCCTTATATTGTTTGCATATAAACCCTTGGATTGTATTTACTGATAACCATTTCAAAATATTTCTAAAATTTAATTTCCCAAAGTAATAGTTTTTTGTATATTTAATTAAGTTGAGTATACTATCATAAATACTTAAATAAGCACAAAGAGGACAATTCATATGTTAATCAGTCTGGTGTTTGATGTAACAATAACATGTTAGTTTATATCAGATTTGACTTTTCTTATATTTTGTTTCTTTTTTCTATATCTATTACGTAGGAAATAGGTTATTTTATTAAGTTTTGTTGGACAACATTGGGCAAATTTGGTTTGAGTGCAATCTGCAACCTAGAAATAAGTTCAGATTTGATTTTAGTTACCTTTTATTTTTTTCTATATATATTCATATACATTGCTTATTTGCTTGCTTATTCAGTGACATATTTAGATTTGGGTGCTTTACTGAATAACTTTTTAATCTCACTTAAGCTGAGAATTTTAAAGATTTCCTCCAGTTTTATTCTGGTAGATGTGGAATACTCTGCTTGCTTGGTTATTTGAATATACTCATAATCGCTCAATTCTTTTAAAGAAAGCTAAGATACCCTCTTTTAAAGAGATATGCGTGTTTAAATAAGTCACAAACTAAAAAGGTGATTTCAAGATTCTTTCTTTAAGCTTAAATAAATATGGCAATCTTCTTAAAACTCAAGTCAGATTAACTTAATTATCTTATTGACCTTTTTTTAGAGGTATGTGTATAACAACAATAGTTGGGTCTTTTAAAGATCACAATAGTATGTACTTCCTCCGTCCCTTAAAATTCGTCCCACTTTGATTAAGGAAACAGCATAAACTTAAGTCAAACTAATGCACAATAAGCACATGTATTTGTTTTTAGGCTCACTTTTTTCCAAAGTTTTCAATCATCATTTTCATTTACCCCACCGTAGGTGGAAGTAAGGGTTTCCCAAAATTTTCAATACTCTTCCAATTTTGTTCTTAAGTTTTATACTTAAATTGCAATTTAATCTTTTTTATGTTAACAAAACGCGGAACACTAGGGTATTAAGTATGACCAGTTGAGCAAAAAATTGATTTCACAATGGCATGGTTTGGCATTTGGAGTTAAGAATACCGGTTTAATTACATCTTTATTTGAATGCTTTATTTGTCCAGGGGCTATTTTTATGATTGGGATTGGACTGCATCTTATTGGCTCACTTACAATTGTTTGAGCAGCAGAACCACAGATTTTAAACTCTATTTAGTTTATCAAGTCAATTAGAATCTGTTTATAGTTGTGCATAAAATCCATGCAGATTTGCCTAATAGGGCAGCTGAATAATGCAGGAAGGTGGTGATTGTGAAATAAGCCTCCTCTTGGTGAAGATAGTCTAGGAACCCTCTGTAGAATCGGTAATTTTCTCTCGATTTTTCTTCCATTTTTGTCTACTATTATTTGCTTCTTATATTTTTTGCGTTAAAGTTGATTTCTGCCACTATCTTCTTCCACAATCATTTATTAGTTTGTACTATTAATTTTAAATTTCAGAACTAATTTTGGTTTATGGTTTATTGATTTTTTATTAGATTATTTTTCCTCCTAACAACACTTTCCTTCCCTGTCCAAAAATCTACACTTTTGTATCTTCTCTCCATGGCAATGTGCCAATGTCCATATTATCTGAAATTTGAATTAGTGTTTACAACAACATCATTCAAGCCTTAGTACCGAAAGAGTTTGGGGTCGGCTCTTGAACTGGTTGCTGACTTGCTTTGCTGCTTCACTCTTCATCAATCATTATAAAAAAGAGTGGTTGCTGGTTCTTCAATCGTCATATAGAAGAGTAGTGGATTTGAGATTGTAAACTTTGTATTTATCCCATACTGGGATTGCCAGATAGTGGGTATGGGATAAAAACGCAAATTGAACTTAGATGATGATGTGGTGTCCATTAAAAAGAGGTAATTGTGTTGGCAGCTCGCAATTTGTACTTCATAATTTTAGTGCATTGTTTACTTTATTATTAATATATGCTACGTATTACACTCCAGGTCTTTGAATTCAGCCCTTCCTGGTACGGTGTAGGTTACTTTATTATTAATGTATACTACGTATTACACTCCAGGTCTTTGAATTCAGCCCTTCCTGGTACGGTGTAGGTTACTCAAATCGCACGAGGGCTCTGTTTTGTATAGATAGGTATTCCGGTATTCCCTAACTATCTTTTCTTCATTCACTATCCGCCTGATGTTGTAGATTTCTCCAGTTTCACTATCACACCATCAAATAGGCTCCAAGCAGTTGATTGGGGTAAGAAACTTTTCTTTCAGTTAACCAGGCCAAAACCGGATTCAAATTTTATACGTGCATGGCCAGAAAAATTCATGCTAGATCTTTAAAAATCAGATCACGATTTTAGAAATGTGCATGTCCTAAATCTGAGTGAATTAAATTTGTGGGGTTATGTTTGAATTGTCTGAATGAACCAAGTCATTTCAATTTTATTTAATACTCCCTCCGTATCACAATAAGAGTCCCAGTAGGCTTTTCATGTATTTTAAGATACTCCATAGTTTACAAGTTTAATGTACACTTTTTGAAAAAGTAGGAGATTTTGGTACTGTTTACTTTGTTAAAGTGCACTGTAGCTACTTTTGGGGTGGAATTATTTCCTAAAATGGAAGTGAGACTTTATTCTCATACGGTCAAAAAAGGAAAGTGAGACACTTATTGTAATACGGAGAGAGTATATATTACCTTTGTTCTTTTATACTTTCATTCTTTCTGTTTTGGTCTGTCCCAAAATCACACAATTCCAGCTTTACTAAAAATGAGTAACTGTGCCGAATCAAAATGGGAAGTAAAAAATGACCTACAGATCAGATGACTTTTATAACTTTAAGGTGCATGTAAAATGTAAGACAAGAATTTGGTACAAAAAGTACTCTAAAAAAGATCTTATACGGTTATTGCTAACTAATTGCCTTGAACTAATTCACGAAATATGTTCTGTCCTGTTGTGTAGAAAGTTATCAAATGATTTGGGCATCTACTGAAGTGAGGACCAAATTGAAGAAGAGCTTCTCCTAAATCTCTGCTCTGAAGAGTTTAGATCCCGATGCATATTGTTTGAACTTTTTATAATGTTTCATAAATAACAAGTGTATAATTTAGCACAAATAAGATGCATCCACCGTCCCATTTTTATAGTTTGATTTATTAGTTCATTTGACCAAGTTGTGTTTTGGTCATATTTACGACCAATGCCCAACTTCACATTGATATGTATTGTCCCATATTAGTATTGGCTCTTTTAAATTGGTGCGTATGATGCATGTAAGTTTACAGCGATGATAATTTAGAATTAGTTTTTTAAATATAGTACTACGTATTAGTTTATACAGCCACTAATTACATGTAACTTATTTACCGAAAAATTGATGGAAATTAATTTGTACCTTTATTAGTGAGGTTTTATTATTTGTTTGGAAAATATTTTATTTAGAATGATATTGGCACATTTACGTTCAAGTGACAAGATCATTGAAATCTTATTGGACAATAAACAGAAAGCATTCACAAGAGATGAGATCATGAAATCTTATTTAATTTCATATTTTCAGGAGAGAACACAGTTTGCATCACCCCTCATGACACCGTTTGCCTAACAATAAATTCATTTGTCATATTTTACTCGAATAAACAAATGTCCAGAATTGTTTTTGATTTTATATTGTCCTCAACTCTCGATTTACAAGAAATAAAATTGTTGTAAACAAGCAGGAGCATGGTAGTATTTTGCTTATAGCCCTAACCAGGATAAGTTCCTTCTACCTCGACTCAATTAACTATTTTTTCTTTAAATAAAGTTATATTTACTGGACATCGATCAATATAGACATGTATTTGTACTGAAAAATATAACTTTTTTCACATACTATGATGTAAGATTTTTAAAACTGGAAAAACTCAATTCTCACCAACATTGAATTTTTGAAAGATTGCTCACCTAGATGGCTAGATTGTATGACAAGTGGGCTGGGAGTATATCTATTAGCTACATTAGATAGCCATACACATCTGTTAGTTGCTATTTGTTCAAACTATTCATCCCAATTTCTTATTCTGGAGCAGTCCGATTTGTTATTATTATTTCATGGTTATTCATGCTCCAACGATGAATGAAGTTGATAAGATCAAAGATTAAATATTGGCTTTGATATATTCAGAGTTAAAGACTTATCTAAACTCAGATTTAGTTTCCTCATCTAGCTCAGATTAAGAATGGACTGAGATGGGTTAGCCCGACCCAGGACCCGACCCGACCCGACCCGATACTGTGCAGGTCCAGCTTGCCCGGTCAGTCGGTACCATGACTGGGCCCCAAACAGGGGGAGTTTGGGGCGGGCTACAAGCTGATGAAATGGTGGACTGGCCCAGCCCAGTCCCAGTACAAACTCGGGCCGGTATCCGGCCAGCAACCCAAATTTTTAGTCCTGCTCACTCCCGCCCAATCCCGGCCCAGAGCCCGACCCAGGCCCGGTCCACACATAGGTCAGATAGTGACCTCCTACACGAGATATATTCTCTCGAAAATCTTATCACTTAAAATTAAGGTTTGCCAAGTCGTAAGCTAAAGTTCGTAGTTGATCGAGGTTCCTTTGAGGCTTATGAGAAATTTGAATCATTCACCTGAATTGGGTAACAACATTCAATTTATGGTGATTAAACTTGGAGCTCATATTATTGAGACTTAGATGACACACTGAGGGAAGAAATAATTCCATAAATATTACTCTTTAAAACATGATGGACAAAATCTAAGTTGCTGTGATGTAAACTTTAAACACAATTATAATCACCAATAATTGATGGTGAAAATTTGGTTATTCCTCGACTTACGTTAACACCATCATATGTTAGACGCTCCTTCACTTTCCATTAGTATTTAACTATGCAATAACCATTAATGAGAGACGATAATAGCTATTAGAAAAGAATGGCATCTTCCCTACTCGGCCTACTTTAATGCATGGTTAACTATATATGACGTTCTCGAGAGTAACAAGTCCATATAAAATGAAATTTGTAATATGTGACGAAGACGGACAACAAAAAAGTTTGCAGTGAATGTTATAAACAAAGACGTTAGTAATAATTTGTAGTTTTCCTTCACAGTTTTCCCATAACAAACTCACTATAGTTTATAATCAGAACTAAAGACAAATATATGGCTAAATTAAGAAAATGAACAAAAATCTGACTTTTAATATGCAGTGACCATATTATTTATGCAGTGAATGTAGTGATGATAGTAAAATGCAATTTTACACTGCAGTGAGTGATATTTTTGCCCACAGTGATCATATGGGCAAAATGAAAAAACCCTTGTAATCAGCGCTTTACAAATTAACAAAGTAAAAGCATATCCACATTTGATCCACAAACCTTCTTCCGAGAAGTCAAAAATCCCACCAAGCATGTCAACACTCTCCACATCATCTTCACCCTTCTCCTTTCCACAAGGAGTATTGCTGCTATCATTATGAGTGACCGCTTTTGTATATTCACGGGATTCTTGGTTAGTTGAAGCCTTACAATAGCCTTCTCTGAAATACTGTGCAAAATCTACAGGGTCACTCATATCTTCATGATTTGGCCCCTCATCGTTGCTAATATTCATACTCCTATTAGAATGGTTAGAGCTTGTGTTTGAAGCTTCACTAGTAAAAGCACTGTTTGAAGATGGAACATCCCTAGCAGTAGTTCCTCCTGCAAAGAGGGACCCACTGTTGGGGGGAGATGGACTATTTACAATGTAAACTTCCTCCAAGGAAGATATGATATTTGTGGATAGCTCAGGACTATAGGATGTTTGGTTCAGCGTGAATGGGGCCAATGACCTTGATTCACTTGCTCCATCATTCTCATCCATTAGGTCGACATGTGGATATGCCACTGGCATCGCACTCATTTTATCTACAATTGAAAGAAAAGGAAAAACGTATTAAGCTTTTCTTATACAAATTGAGTTACTGGCATGTGACTTTTTCACCAAACCTTAAGCCAAGCAAAAAGTAATAAATTATACTGACTTACCAGCATGTGCCTTTTTCAGCAAACACTGTGGAGCCGCCATTGCAATAGCAGAACTAACTTCTGGTTTCTCTTTAGCTGTGGAAGAAGCATACGATGAACCAGAGAATCTGCCATCAAAAGAAACCCTACACAATATAAATATGTTCAGCATAACAGTTTGGAGAAAGATTATTTATATGAAAAATATCATTTAAAAAACATAGAGATCAATAAGAGAATGCCAACACATAACAGAGACAGAAGTTAAGAAATCATATGGCCTTACATAGATTAAAAAAAGTTTGTCCTGTTAACTACTCAAACTCACAACTGCATCCATGAAAAATAAGCACGCGAAATCATGTTTTCCTTCAAATATCGAACTTCATTACCTCTTAAAAGTGAAATTACTACAGCCCAAGATAAAGCACAATGTCATTGTGAGACTAATTTCCTGTTAAAAATTTGGCCGGAGCCTATAAAGAAAACCGAATCCAATGATTCATTTCTCAATTAGAGAACAGGGAAGCATAAATTTTCTCTGACTTAGAGTAAAATTGGCTTCTTCAGTAATATTAATGATCTTGAGTTTATATCCACACGATGAGGTGGTAGATAGAAAGAAAACCCAACGTTTTGTGAAACGTATGTGGCCCAAGCGCTTACTTTTCAATATAAATCAAGAAAACGGTACCAACAATACGTGGACCCAGTGCAGGGTGTAAGGAACTTAGCTCTCCTTTAGCCAGATCTAATAATAGAACATTGTGAAAGGAATAGGTATTGCAAAAGGTCTACCCAAATAGGATATACTATAACAGACATGATAGTATAAAAAACAAAACTCAAGTTCATAATTCTTTCGTCGAACCAAAGATGTGAACAAAAATGTTGTATAGGCATTCATTGGGAAGTGAACTTGCAGGTCCAGATTACCTTTCATCATTCCAATTTGTGCGAACCCTCTGAAAATGGTCAAATACAGGTAGCAAATCCTTGCGCTTGATTTCGACTTCATTAACAGAAATATTCTCTATTTCAATCTCCCCGCTGGAAGAAAGCTGATCGATATAATGCTCTGCATTCCCTTGGAAACTCAATGTATAGAAGCATATCTAAAGTAAATGAAATGATCATTGGTATATACCTCTTTATAGTAAATCTTAAAGGTCTGTACAATGAAGGCTATAAGTGGTAGTTGCAGTTCTCTACCTTAGACTTCTGCCAAATTGGTATCCTCCAAGACCTTGACCGAACTTCGGCATTTGAAAGATACCAGTGAGACTGACCATGCGGCTTTGTTATATCCTTACCTCCAATGTCATCATCTTCGCTGGCAGAATTATCTATGACAGTTTCCATGCACCCACGGTTCCCGAGGGAGATTTCCTGAATGCACTCCTCTCTTTCAGGCCAGACTGCCCTTCGACAAACATCCCACCATTGTACAGGCTCAACTTTAACTCCCAGATCATCCTCTTGCATCTGCATTAAGTGGGCAGTACCACTTCTCAAAGAAGACTGACCCTGCTCTCGACCAAGAGAAGAAACCAATTCATATTGAATTAGATGTCCACTGGGAGTGAAGGCCAACAAATGTTCTAAAGTGTTCAGATTTTGGGGAGCATGCTGCACATCTCGGTGTATGCAACTATGATAGACAGCTGCAACAACACCAGAAGGTACAGAAACCCTTCCTGCTGCAGAAGATGCCACACTGCTTACTGAATTAAGCCAACCAGAGACATTTTTTATCCTGCTAACGACAGACAGTGTGATAGGTGTTGGTGGGGGGCAAGAAGAGTGTGCATTTGTTGAAAAAGAAGAAGCAGACCACCATGGCATAGAAAGTATAGGTGTTAGTGTTGTTCCATTAACATGAGTACTCTGTAGCTGAAGCCCTGTCTCACCACCAAAAGGGGATAGTACAAAAATATGGCATGTCCCCTTAGTTGAAGTAATACCTACCCATTGACTAAAGTTACTAAAACAAATGTCCTGTATCACCTGTTAGAAAACAAGATTGCCTTAGAGGATAAAAAATGCCTAGAATATAAGTCAACAAAAAAAACGAGTTACAACATTAAGAGGCACAAAATACACACAGCTGGAGTCACGCCTCGATGGAGCTTGTAGAGGTGGACATGAGAAGAACTCCAATCATTGTTAAGTGCACCTGATCCATTCTGAGAACAATTGGGCAATATACGGTATATATTTATATTGTTACCGTGTATGGAAGCAGTGACCAAGAGAGTGCCACTAGGGTCAAAACATAGAGCAGATATGGGGCTAATATGCGCCCTAAATTGTGAAATTATAGTTCTGGATATGAAATCTTTGATGACAACCTGCAATAAACACATCAGATTAATAGTTCTTTTAGATCAGGGGTAAACACTGAACTCTACATTTTACTATTTTAGAAATGTAACACTTCAATAAAATTTATTACATATTAATGTGATGTTAGTACTTCTTCAGATGAGGAATTAATTAGGACCTTTTCATTTTCAGGGCCAATTTAAAAAGGAGAATCTAGGTGCCACAATCAATTAATGTATGTGGGCTAGTTAAATCAAGGGGACATGTTGTCAATCACAATGCTTGGCTACTACAACAAAGAAACAACCACTCTTCATAAGTCATAATTCAGGCTTCAACAGTTAATCTTGTGAAGGACTACATTATGAGAAAATCAAATTTAATCTGTAACGGCAAAGATCGTTTTTTAAGGTGCATCCCTTCCCAAGCAAGTTCCTCTGCATTGTGCAAGTTAACGCAGTTACAGATCAGCTCACAAAAGGCAGAACCTGCTTAACCATTTTGTTATTTTCAAAACGTGTTGAAAATGTGTGGCTTGCTTTACTTGAATATGAAAAAGCGTGATCAGTGAAGAAAACAAATGCCAGCAATATTGGCAGTAGACTATTTTGATACAACCAAAACTACCACCCCGGTAAAATCCCACCATGTAGAGTAATAGTGTAGTGGTTAAGTAGAAACAGATCTATTCCTATCTAACTAACCTAAAATTAAAGTTTTTTTAATACAAAATTATTAGTGACTAGTGAGACTAACCATCCCAGCTGCATCGGTTTCATTTGAGTGAAGTGGACCCCTTCCGACATTCCAGACAGTGCTTGATGATGCAGGTAAATTGGAGCCATCAGGAAGAAGCTCATGACAATACTTTGAAAAAGTCTTATAGCCCATGTCTCCAAGATTGATTAATCCAGAAGCAAGTTGTTTACTAGACTCCATGGCATATCTAGCTACCAGGTTTCCATTACCTGGAGATGTAGATGGGCTAACACCTGGAGAAGGACTAAGACTTTGTGGACTTAATCGTCCTGTGTTTGCTATCATTGGGTTGTTTGATGAATAAGCTAACCACCTTGGACCTACAGCCATTGGACCATAGCCAATATTGACTCCAGTAAAACCCTGACCGCCAGACTGAGGCACAGGATAGGTGAGCACACTAAATTTATTCTCCAGGGTGATGGCATCAAAGCAATATATCTACCAACAAAAATATTAGAATGTTCAATATAACAAAAACTTGATCACTGCAAGAGTACATGAACACATTTAGGGTTAAGGTAGCAACCAGTCTAATGAATAGTTGTAGTTTAGAAGACTAATGGGTGTTCTTGTGCTTGAAGAAATTCATTGTACCATTTGTATGAACCAAATATTTGATCATTCGAGTGAAAAATTAAAGATATTCACCTGCGTCGCGAGGCCAACAGCAACTATATGCGGACTAGCTCTAGCCATAAAAACAGTAGACCTGAATCGCAAAATGTGAACATAATTGTGGGACCTTAGAGAATAAAATCTAAGGGTAGATGTAGTAGGCAAGTTCGTATTGTTTCCTGCTTGAGGCTCAATAATGCCATCCCTCCCACTTTGTGCAGGAATGGACTGAGCTGCTTCACCACAAGCCACCACCAAGAGCATGGGATGTGAGTTTCTATATCCCTCATGGCCATCAGACTTTGCAGGGATGGGTTGCATCTGTAGAAATGTTACTGGATCATCATCGCGCTGAGAGACCAGTTCGCATACATTAGAAGCATCTTCAACATCCAAGACTTGAAACCCATTGGAATAACCAATCAGCAGGATGTTTTTGAATGATGAGGGAGCTAATTCTAGTTTGTCAAAGCAAGCCCATAAAACCTGCTTGTCGATGTGCAAATCCGAGAGGATTGATGAGAACACAGCAACTTCAATGTTACAAACATAAAAAGCTATTATTCATTGAAGCCAAACACAATAAAAAATCTAAACAATAAGAGTGTTGAATCCCATAGAAGGGACTCCACAGAGTAGAAAAGAGCTGCTATGGTTGAATATTTTTTCACAAACTTCCCATAAACAATTGATTGTTTCTTTTTTGACAAGATAGTAAACAATACATTTTCTTTTTCTCCTACATTGCTGGCATACAATTGTATGGCTTCAATACTCCTTTCGTTGTTCTCCTAGAAGTATAGAACCACACCTTTTTTATAGAACAAGGCAGACAAAGAAACACAAAACAGTGTCAGAATTCTAGAATCTATGTATGCGAGTACATAACTACACATTCTAAGCATTAAATGTAAACCAAATATCAATGCCTCATAAACCGTGTGTATTGCATAGATAAGGCGGATTGGTGGGATGAAGAGAGGAGCCAACCTCATCATGCATACAGTTGTACGTATCACTGAGCATGCCCCAGTTTAATGTAAAAGTTTATATACCATGATTACAAAATGATACTAAGTACTTAAGAAAATAAAAATAATCATAATATAATACCATATTCATTAATACTCAAGAAACTGTATAGTCAAATCCAGAAACAAGTCAAAGATGAAGTCCTACCACCACCAAAACTGTGAACTCAAGCAGTCAAGCCTTACACAATCCTATCTCCATTCTTTTAGATGCATCAGTTTGACAATGCATGATTTTAATCTTTAACTATTGATATATATAATAATCTTTGGGTAAACATTACAAAAGGACAAAATTTTGAGTGTATACATTGAGACAAAATCCACATTTTACATAATACATTCGACAGTGAGCACTTGCCACTAAGTCTCTAGCTAAGAAGTACTTGACACTGAGCACGAGCGGAGACAGTGAGCTAGTGAAGTGGTTAGTGCGCAGTCCCCACTCAATTTCTATTGAACACTTACACAGACATTTTGAAAGAACAAATATGAAAAAAGAGATACTGTTGAAAGCGTGGTTGGGCATTGGGAGATGAATAGAAAGAATATTGAAAGATAAGAAGTATGACGATAAAGAACTAGTCGCCCTTGGCAGACTAATGTTCCTTCCTGAACATGGCAAGTGACACAAGCACCAACTCCAAAACTATAGGTGATCCTATCAATAAATAGAACCTCTCATCGATTCTTGTCCCAAGAGCCTTGGCGAGCAAGTATCTTGTTAACTTATTACAATGATGCATAAAAAATATTACCTAAAATAAAATATCTAATGGATAGGACATAGGTCTTCTAAACCTTTGGTATAGGTTCAATTCCTATTGGGCGCAGCCGACCGCTCTTCCACTGAGCTATTGAGGAAGAAAAGACCCACGGGGGATTTAAGTGTAATGTTGTATGGATAGGAGAAGATAAAAGAAAATAAATAAGTTGTTGAATTAATTAAGAAGGATGTGAGGGTGTCGAGTCCTTTAGTGTATCCAAGTATGTGGAGAGTTGATTATTTTAGTATTTGCCATGAGGGTGGAGTATTTTATATAACCTAGGTATGCTTATGAGTGTATATATGTGATGCAACCATGAAGGAGGTGTGAGTCAACGCATGAAAAATAAAGTTATGAAATAACAATAAAACTCTTGCCATTCAACATAGGGGCAAAGGCTTTCTTGGGTTGGTGCGCGGAGGAAAGGCAGCCTGGAGAAAGATGGCTAGTTTTCTGTTATAGGGTTGATGACTCTTTTTTAACTCCAAACTTGTTTCACTTTAGTATAACTGACCAACTGTACGGCATAAGCCTCTATTAAGCCTAATTGAGTTATTGATATGGCAAGCCACAGTAGGATAGTGCGCAAAACCTAGGTATTGATCTCAATATGTTGAGCCACATCGCCAATTTCTAGGTATTTCTCTCAATATGTTGAGCCACATCGCCAATTTCTAGGCATTGCTCTCAATATGTTGAGCCACATCGCCAATTTCTAGGTATTTCTTCAATGCTTAGCCTCAGGACGCAATTTTGAACATTGCAATAGGTATAGGTCAAGGATTTTGTCAAGGTTTACTTTCACACTTTCATACTCCGTATCATGCATGGAGCGTGTGATAGATGATGAAAAAAATCAGTATAAGGTAGATAGCATGCAACAACCTCAAGAGAGAAATATGCTACTTAGATCTGAATTACAGTTAATGCACATGTAACTAATACTTGCGAAGGTATTGTGTAATACTATATTATGGTTACATCAATACGTAATTAATTTGAGAATTTTATACTAGTAACTTACTAGAAACTTTGCTTACATAGTCGTATTTTTTTTTACAAAACAAAAGATCCGAGGACTCGGACCGAACCGGCCCATTTCAAACGGGGCGGGTAAGGTTCGGTTTCTATTCCGAAACTTGGTATACCCGAACCGAACATACCCGTTAAATGGAACCAGCGGTTCTTGAAAATTTATCAATTACCTGAATCGACCCGGACCGTGCTCACCCCTAATTGTAACCACTCAAATACGATAGTATTATAAAATATGATACGAGACAGACTTAACGGGACGGATGAAAAGGGTAAAACGGGACAAAGTTAGAAGGACGGGAGAGTATTACATTACGATTAGTATCAGTAACCTCATTATGCATACTCATATATTTTTATGCTCAATTATCTTATTTAATTATCATCTTATCATATACGAACATTTTCAAATTTGAATCATGAAACTTGGTCACAATTCTTGACTCGTTATATTGATAATTTGATATTAAAACTAATTGTATTATTGTTTTTGTTATTCGAAAAAATTGACAACAATTGTCCCAATATTCACCCGTTTTTTGAGAATAGTTTCTCTAAACATATATATATATATACTCTCGAAATAATCCAATCCAACATTTTCACTTCATTTCCTTCCAGTGCCTAACAGATCGTTAAAATGGTGCTTCAGTTTTTTGCTTTTTCTTTGAAAAATATTAAACATATAAGCTCACCCTTCAAAAATCTTGTGTTTATTTTTAACAATAATAATATTCCCACCGAAACTGCTTTGTGTTTCTTGAAATATCTTCCCTCGTGGTCGAGGGCTTGCTTGAGGTGGTGCCAGGGACAATACCTCAGAGGAACTTTGGATTTTCCACCAGTCTGCACTCTGCAGTGTGTGGACGAGCGCCTGTTGAGTGCCTTATTTCTGAGGTGAGGGGAGTCCCGAGTCCATATGACGAAGCCGAGGGACGGTGTGATCTGTATCCGTTTTGTCTGCTGAGTGGTGGAGACAGTTGAATAGGGTGCCACGTGGGGGGCGCTGAGCTACTATTGGTTAGGCAGGCCTTTGATTGGACCGAAAGTCTATAGAACGTCCAGGGCCGGTCCTGTCCATTTATAGGCCTATGAGCGATACGTTAATTCGGGCTTATATCCAAGATAAACCGTAAACCACATACTTATTTTACATATAAATTATAATAAAAATATCTAACAACAACAACAACAACAACAACAAAAACAACAACAACATCCAAGTCTTAGTCCCAAACGATATTGGGGTCAGCTAACATGAATCGATATATGATATCGCCAAAAGGAAAAAAAGGAAATAAAGATAAAAAAGATAACTATTATAAAAAAGATAATATAAAAGAGATGAATATACATATAAAAGATAAAATAAAAAGGAAAAAAAATAATATTTATATAAAATGATAAAAGGATTAAAAAAGGGAGGAGGAGGAAGATGATACAAGATCACTCCTCCACACGAATACGCGTCCTCCACTTTGCTCTCTCCAAAGTGATACCCTCATCCAATCCAAGAAGTATCTAACGAAGTTCATAAAATAAAGGCGAGGATCACTTTTTTATTATTATTATTATTATTATTATTATTATTATTATTATTATTATTATTATTATTATTATTATTATTATTATTATTATTATTATTATTATTATTATTATTATTATTATTATTATTATTATTATTATTATTATTATTATTATTATTATTATTATTATTATTATTATTATTATTATTATTATTATTATTATTATTATTATTATTATTATTATTATTATTATTATTATTATTATTATTATTATTATTATTATTATTATTATTTAAGTTACATAGTTAGGCAAAAGTAACAGCACAAGTATCGAATAAAAAGAAAAAAAATTACTTAAAAACGTTTCTCATATAACAATGTGAAGGAAAACTCATAGATGATCTTCTTTCCACTAATAAGCACTTCTCAGCTTTTGGCTTTAAAAAAGCACTTATTTTCCCAAACACTACAACTTTTATTTTTCTCGGCTTCCGCGTCAAAAGTGCTTTTACTTTTTCTATTACACAAAAAGCACTTATTTTACCAAACACTACCCACTTTTACTTTTCAAAATCACTTTTTTCTCAAACACTATCAACTTTTATTTAATCACTTTTCCCCATTTCATTAAAAAAAGCACTTTTTTAAAAGCAGAAGCTGTTGCAAACAGACCCTAAGTATGACAAACAATAAAACCTTCACATATAACAACACTAAATTTTCTTTTGGTTACAACTGAAAAGATAAATGAAAATAAATACTAGTATTATATTACTACGTACTACATATTGAATTTATAAGTTGAAAATGATTTATTGACCATTAAGAATTTTAAGTTTGAAGTCTCGAAAGAATGAAGGTTTTCAAAGAGACAAATTGTTTGGCCGCCAGAAGATTGCCAAATTTTCATCCTCTTTAACTACTATTAGGAACTCGAATATAGTTTTTTTCAATTTGGAAACAAATAAATAATTAGGATGAGATTTGGGAGCCACGGGCTCTATAATAATTATATAAATTTGTTATGTTATAATTAAAATAAATAAAAAGCCTTAAAGGCTAAAGAGATGTGAAGAGTGAAGAGACGTGTCTTTTATTGATCCAACAACAGTTGTAATGCTTTTAAAAACTAAAACCGATTCTACTTTAAATTAAATTAATGTATATATATTCTTTTTTAAACTTGGCTTTGTTTAATTTTTTTATATATGTTTTAAATTTTCAAATTGTCAATAAAATTAAACATTGAGCCTAATTAATTGAACTTAAGAATAAAACAAGAAGCCTACTCACACAATATACAAAGAAAAGATTTTGGGCCTATTTCTTCTTCTATATTTTTTCGGGCCTAGGGCGGTCGCCCCAGTTTCCCTCCCCCCAGAACCGGCCCTGAGAACGTCTACAGAAAGCGTGTACACGAAGCATTTTTTGTTTGATTCGGAGGATTGGAGATTAAACTCCCACTTGCTACTGCTGCTCTTTTGATGAAGGTAACAGACTATTTTAGGGAGGAGCCTTGCAATAGTCTGGAGTGGAGAATTAT